TATTACTGTGTGGAACGGGTGCAACGGGTGCAAGACGTGTGTGTGACTTGGCCGGGGTACTGTGTTCGGTAAGGGGGGGAGATTCTGATAATTTCAAAAGGTGAAAACTGTCTTTCGGAGAACGAAAAGGTCTAGGAGAAGCGACGTCGCCGATGCCTCTTTGCCAGAAGACAGATAACCTGTGTCCTGTGTCTGTGGCGGCCGGGGGTTTAATGCCCAAGTTGGGCCTTTTGGCTTTTGGGTATCAACACTGCCGGTGTCCTCAGCGTCTGAATAAGCAAGACCTGCAGCCGGCACTCTACAACGCTATAATATCACTGGCACAACCCAGACAGAGAAGAACGAGACGAAATCCCTTTTGCTCTGGCTCGAGGTTTCTGTGTGGCTCTACAATTGATGTCTGTATGTATGGTGTGTATTGGTGTGTATTGGTGTGTATGGTATGTATGGTATGTATGGCTGCATGGGAATTCCAAAGGAGCAGAGCAGAGCAGAGCAGAGCAGAGCAGAGCAGAGCAGAGGCTGCCGGCGGGGTGGCATGTCTGACAGTCTTCGACAACGCATGTCGCGGCGCCAGGACCGGTTTATGACTCCATCCAGACAGTCTAGTAGCATATTATTTGCTCGGCAGAGCTGCGCGCAAGTCGCAGTCAGCCAGTCAACTAGGCTACCTGGTCGCAGGCAGAACACGGACGCCAACGCAACCATTACCATGCCGCCTCCGGTCCTACTGTACTATAAGTAAGTAAGTGTAAGTGCTCTCGTCCCACCGCCCTGCCATTTGGGGCTACAGGAATAAGGGCGCCTGCATTAGCCAGCACCCGTCCATGCCCTGAATGGCCTCGATGGTGGGGTCCGGAGGGGGGCCAACCCAGAGCAGTACACTACATAGACTATGCGGTATCCACATACAGTATAGGCCTCGACGAGGGAGTCGTCAATGCGCTTTTGCGAATGAGGTCACGGGTGGCTCTTCTGCAGCGATGCCCCATCGAGGGAACTGTAACTCGCTGCTCGTCTGCACGTGGAGGACGTGGCAGAGCGGTCTGCAGGTAGGCCCTTTACTTACACAGTAGGCCTCGGTCGTCGCCGAACCTGGACTCCTCCTTTGAATGAACGAATAGCAATTTAACACTAACCTCGCCGTGGCCTTCGTCCCGGTGCATTTTAAGAAGATCCGTTGGCGTCTGTGTAGCATCGGGATAACTTTGAAGGGGCGAATCTCTTTGTTGGCGCCCTGGAACCCCAATACGGTATGGCAACAGGATGATTCATGCCTCCTTCTGTTTCTATTTTTCAATCAATTGGGGGTGTTCAGACAATCAAAGGGACTAGAATGAGAAATGAAAGAGACGTGGTTGTGGTCTACGTAGTACGAGCCTTCGTTCAGCTGCCTAAAGCTTAAAGTGTTACTTGCTGTTCTTCTCGCAACTTGCAGGCAGTTGATCTCACAATTCACTAGTTCATGCAAGTGGATTGGCTCACCCTGTCTGCTAAGAGAGCACATGTGGCTGCTGCTTCGACCGTGTGCACCCACCATGCATGCAATCCTACTTACATTCTACGGCCTACTTTGGCGTGAGAGGGGGCTAGCTACTTACATTGCTGCCTCCCTTATTTGCTAGCTCATCGGTCCATAATATATCGAGTAGTACGCGTAGGTTTCGCGTACATGAAGGTGTACCCAGTATCGCCGGCTATGGTTACTATGCACGTGGAAGAGGAATAGCGTACAATCCGATGCATAGGATTGTTGGATCATATGTTGTACTCGCGGGTATAAAGTCGATCAGCTGTTACCAAAAGCAGAACGTCCCTCCCTACATATTTACCTTCCGGGGGCACCTTCTCATGGTAAGTACCACTAACTCTCCTCAAACGGGATTTTAACAGGTATCTTATAAGTACCTAGCTTTAGACAACAAACCCCGACAGAGTTCAGAGGTTTTATGGAATAATGCATATCAGGACAAATGCTTAAGCCGAGTTAGTAAAGTTTGTATGTATGCTACGCAAGCTTGGCCATCATTGATTCTCAACTCCAAAAGGCATCGTGAGCAACAGTCTCTACCCTGCCGAGGACGAAGCAAGGAGTAAACTATGATAGCTGACATGGTGCACCCTCGTGATTATCTACTATCAACATCAGCAAGAAAATTAACAGGCTAAGTAAATATAAGAGTTTCCCTAAAACGACGCTAGAAGTATATTCATAATCATTGTGATAATGAGAACGAACAGTATATCCTGAAGATGGCCAGCTTCGCCGGCAGGGTTTCTTGGCATTACCGACGATAGATTGAGAAAGATGGCTGGACTCTTTCGATGTCAGTCACCTCCACAAAGAGCCTCACCGCTCTTTCAACCAAGGGACAACCTCGCTGTGTCATTGCCTCTCAACCTTGAAGATATCAATTATTGACTATGACACGGTCGTATTGTGCTAGGGGCTTTTTAGTAAAGCCCATCCCTATAACCATGGCCATACCAACCACTGTCAAATCACAGAGTGACGTGGTTATACTTTCTTCGCTCAGAATAATCAGGGTCCCCTAGTTTCGCGGATAGGTTCGCGTTCAGTCGTTGGAAGTAGGCATAGCATTAATACGCCTCAGGACATTTAGGGGACCAGCCAGATGTTGCTCGCTCCCAGCTTCATCCTTGGAGCTAGACTGCACGACGGGACCGGGGATACTTCACGGCTGGTCGGCATAAACGGGTTTTCTGCTGCTCCTATTATTATACTACCAATAAATTGCTATGGTACATGATGGCTTACGGTTAACTGGGGCACTAGTCGATCAAGACAGCCATAGTTTACTTGTGTACATGTTACCCACTGAGTAAAAGGCCGGAATGGCAAGTATTCCGAACTGCCTCCGTTACTGTTCCAGTACGATAAGGACATCTAATTGGACCCCGATTTGACGGATAGCTCTGTGGGCAAGAAGGCGTTGATCCCTTGGACGGCTTCTTCCTATAAATAGCGGACCCGCCTGCAGAGAGGCTTGAGCAACTTGCATACTAGACATTGAATTAGGAGCCATACGATTATATGGTAGTTAAACATATGCTAGGGGATGAGCGTTGACAAAGGGTCTGCTCCGATGTCCCTTCTACCATTATACAGCTTGCTGAAAATACATACCGATGAATAATACGATGATGTAGTTGTGCTAGGTTCGAGATACTATCGCACAATTTAACAAACTGGCCATTGTTGACACAGTACTTGACCCTGGATACTGAAGCTAGCGGAGCATGATGCCTAGCATCAGGTTTCCCCAGTCGAAGACTCTATTATGGCTTGTTCCCACTTCGTCTCCATCGACGACAAAAGAGTCGAAGCGAGGCCTGGTCTTCACCTCCAGCATCTTAGTCATAAGGCGAAGGAGGACAGCGAAACATATCAAGCCGCCAAGCGCAGATGGCGGGTGTTAGGAACATCAGTATTGGTTTAGGTTCGAAGCGCCCTGTCATGTATTCCAACTACATAAAATCTGGGGACACTAAGACAAGGTTGGCCGTAAGGCCCAGTTGCGGTTCGAAACTAGGTCCCAACCTATCAGGGCGGTCTTGGCTTGTTGCTGGGCGGCATTGCCAATCATCTCGCAAGGAACACCAGAACATGGTGAAGATAATCAACTGGGTTGCCATTTGCCATGGTCATTCAGCCAGAACCGGAAGTAATTTCCAGCGTTCATCTCAACATAGCTCGATAGTGTTCTTTGGGCTGTGGATCAAGTGATTGCGTCTTTTGACAGCTTGTCCATCGCAAATTTGAGGAACGGCTGACGAGTATTTGGATTAGGTATTTATCGACCGCCCCAGATGGCCAGGTCAGAACCCAGGTCCCGGTTGGGTGGATCTTCACACCCAAGATCCGGCCATGTGCAAAGCATGGCGTAACCAGCGCGGCAGGGACCGTTGCAGGTCCCAAACACCGTTCAACTCTGGCTTGTCGACGTCATAGTAGATTCAACCATGCAAAGCAAGCCGGATCCAAGCGATCCCACTCCACGATAAGAGGACTCGGGTCTGACTCGGGGCTGGTCAGGCGTTTCGCGGAAGGAGATGTTGCTCCAGAAAATCAGGGTAGTATGACCGCGCCTGCACCCTTGATCGGAGTGGGATCGACGATGGCGATATCGGTACCCCTCGCGACGATCCGTTTTTTTTGGTTCGAGAAGTCACAGAGGGAGGGTTCCTACTAAGTAGGTATGGCATGTATGTATGTAAGTAGGTAACCAGCCCGTCCGCCTCTGAACCCTAACCCCAACCTGTCTCGCGGACTCGGGCGCTGATTGGACACAGGCAGCCTACTACTGCCTCACGTGGTTGCACCTTTCACGTGACCCTTATTCACCCGGCTTGCTCGGTGAGCCCCGCGCTAGCCGCGACGGGAATCTCCAAGTCTGCCCGTCTTCTCGCAGGGAGGGCAGGAAGGACACAGGGCAGGACACAGGATTGGTAGCCCCATTGTGCAGGCAAGCATGCGCATACCTACTTCCTCCAAACTCAAAATTCGAGCCGGCACGGGCTGAGCCGAATTGCTGATCTACAGGACAAAGGCCGATCCGCGATTAGATCCTTCAACCTTAAAACACGCGGAATCGATTAGCTGCACATCTGAGACTATGCGACCAAGTGGTCAGTCGACATGACGCTGCAGTGCTGCTATGTAAAGTAGGGTCCGGTATAATTCGACCGCCTAATGGCCATGCATCGCAGAGATCGACAAGACAGTTTCCCGTCGGGAATATCCTCAAACGAAACAATCTGCAGGGAAAACATGCATTTCCAAGCTGCGTGTTGGGAGCCAAGGAACGGCCCGACGCATTCATTCTGTTGCCCACCAACCTGCGCGGATAAGGCAAGCCCGCCTATCTATCTATCCTGCATACAGTATCCATTTGATCTTTCACTGCCTACGCACGCTTCACGCGTCGGGGGAAATAATCTTGCATATCCCAAGACTGAGCAGAAAAAAAGAAACACAACTCCGAATCGGGGAATCGAACCCCGGGCTTGACGGCACCGGTACTACCCCTCACTCAACCTCTGATGAGAGCAGTGAGGAGGTAGATGAGAGCGTCAAATGTTAGCCACTACACCAATTCGGAGAAAATCAAGGGTATACAAGCGGGATTGAACCGCCGACACTGGACTCGCGGGGAATCGAACCCCGGACCACTCCCAATTCCTGTCTAATGACCTTCTCGAAAGAAGACATTCAGATGCTAAGGGAGTATTATACCACTAAACCACAAGCCCCGAGAGGAAGAGACGAGCTTCCTGTGTGTGGGGTCCTGGCTCGCTAAAGTGAGATTTAGCATCTGCCTTGGTTGGACTGATTAGACTGGACTTTTGGTGGTGCCGCTAATCTGCTAAGTAGAAGTAGATACTGTACGCCCCGAATCGAACGAGTCAATGTGTGTACAGCTCAAAGTGTGTGCGAATAGAGAGAGGGTCGGACTACTACTTACGCCATGCACCAAGTAGTGGTTTGTGAGTAGTGTGTAGCACCAACCCTCCTAAGCGTTCGCTTTTCTGCAAGGAAAACAAGCAATCTGCACATACATCGAACTTCTCAAGCTGGTACGAAAGCAGCCAGTCAACTAACCCAGTCCAATTAAACTCCCGGATCCTCCCGGTGAGGGGCATTGGTCGCCAGCCATGGCCATTCACCGTTCACCGTCAAACCTCTATTTATTTTGTTGGGTTGCAATCAGACCATGGGTCTTGATAAGCTCAGTCACCTGAGGCATGCCGAAACCCTCAAATCAAGTGCCCCTCCTAGACAAACAAGATCTTCCACACTTGCATTCATTCTGTGGTGCTTTCCCCAGTCACACCGAGGGTGCTGAAAAGGTGGTGATAAATGTTGCACAATTGATTGATAACGGGAGATGGTACGGAGTATTTGCTAGGCGGATGCATTGCATGATGCGGGGCACCATCCGCGCAGCCACTTCTTCGGTCTGGCTGGTTGTATGCCATTTTCGATACCAATACTCCAACTAGAACATGTCCATTTGACTCAACAAAAGCCGATTATATTGGCGTCATAACCTATACCGTTTCTTGGTTATATATCTAAGCAGAAGAAGGTCATTCCACTCGCTAGCTCTCGGTAGCTATCTGCAGTAGGTTAGATTAGTATAGGTCGTCAGCTACACACACACGATCTTACTAATACCCTTGTACGTTCACTTACACATACCTATCTGACATAGGTACGATTAAGATGGTACAGCAGCATATGTACGTAGACTTACAGCCAACGACAGCTCCAGCACATCCTCCATCATAGCCGCAGCAGCCGGGTTTTTTGGAAATCATGCATCACGCCACCGCAGTGCACAAATGGCTCAACGCACTCGAGCACCCAACTCATGCAAGGTACAGCGGGGACGCGCGCTGCAGCGATGCGCAATCCCGATCCCTGACTGTGCATTTCGATCAACTCACTAAGACAGCAGCGAATGATACGAAAGCTCACGAGCCTCACCAGCGTCGCATACAGGCGTGGATTACGTCGGGGTTACGGGATATGGCAGTGGAAGAGGGTGTGCGACCATGTCAGATGCCTAGTTGACGAGACGCAGAAGAGTGACCAGAGTAACCAGAGTGGGGGGAGAGTCGTTTTCCTTACTACCGGGGAGGTAGTGAACTCGGTAGGACTCGTATCCTCACCCGGTTTTCCCTTCTGGGTCGCACACCATCTTCATATGCATGGGTCCGTTTTAGGAAGATATCTACCTCCTCAGCTTCTCTCTTAGTCCAAGATGTGAGTCTTCGTTCCCTGCGCCCTGTGATTGATTCACGGCAATAAGCAATAGACTGTCGCCCCTCTGAGGGCATCCATCGCGTCTGTGGGGTTTTCGAAGATACCGTACCCTTCTTGACAGCTGAGTGACCAGGATGACCACCACTACCTTTGCCCACGAACCCACAAGGCAGCGTCTTTGATCAACAGGTGACTAACCGGAGCACCAGCCACTTTCCTGACATATGCCTTCTGCCTATCGTGGAATTTATATATATCTGGCCTCGCCGCCGGATTTTTTTCTTGATGTGCTACTCTGACCGATTACTTTTGACTCGAGGTTTTGACTCCTTTCCTTCTGTCACATTCACTACACCTGTTCCTTTTGAGCCGGCTTGGGCCCGGCACCTTTAAGAAGGTCCAAATTCGAAGGAAGAGTGGCCGTTCTGCCACCCTATGAACAATTTAAGTTATCCCAGCCTGGGATGAGTAGTCGGGAGCCTACCTTTCGCTATCAAAGACCCTTGTTCCATCAAGCTCCACTATAATATCATCCAACATGCCTCTCTCACCATCGGATGCACTGAATGCAGTGCACCGACAGTCATGGCCACCCAGCGGTTTATGGCCTTCAAGTCCCAGCCGAATTCCACCGGCACTCGACGAGGACAAGGATGGCCTTTCCACAGATGATGAAGACATCGACAGCTCTTCAAGGCCCGAGAATCCTCTCAAATATTTCTTGACTCCCGCGACCCCCGGAGATGATGAGTTAGAATTTGAGTTCGACTTCGATGCTGGCATCGAGGACTCGAGCAGTCCCCGCCATATTGTCCGGAGTGTGAGCCCTTCAACGCTCGATGGCCTCAGGCGGTACAAGGCCAAGAAGGAGGCAGACTGTGCCATCCTAGACGACGACGATGACGACGATGAAGAGGAATACATACGGTTTAATTCTCACAAGTCGCTGCCTTTTGGCCTCGAAGACTACTTCGATCACCCTCGACACAGCTCTCCCCACCATGCCATGTCTCGAAGCGCCGAGACTCTATTATCACCATCCTCATTCCATGTGGGATCACCCAGGGGCCGCTTAGCCAAACGCTTCGCCCCGCCACCTCGACGGGCTTCCTTTCGAGGCCGGCCCGCTGCCCGTACACTGCAGCGGCGACACTCCTGGCGCGAACCCAGTCCAGACGTATGGTCCATCGATGAAGAACCCGAAAAGGAAACCATGAGCGAGATGGGGCTGAGCATCGAGGATCTTGATGACGGCCCGGATAAGAAGACTCAACCTATAGATATACCGGCTGCAAAGCCTAGGAAGAAGGTCCGGTTCGTGTTACCGGTTAAGGAGTTGTGATTTTTGGCATCTCATTTACTTGCATATTTCCTGGCTGATTGGGGGGGTTAATCTACTGCATAGTGCGGAGTTTTGGTCTCCTTAGATTTTATCATTTCACTCCCTTCGGCGTCGTGGTCACTACATCATCATTATCCACCGGCCACTCATACCATCGTCACTTTTCCATATAGCATACGGCCCTTAGCATATTTGGCGTCTGGACAGGGTGGCCTTTTGGTTTTCAGGCGGCTCGGGGCATTAGTGGTAATACCTGCTTCCGTATTCATGGCTTTGGTACACGTAAAAAAATACATGAATCCATCTAAATTGAACATGAAACTTGAATCCCCCGTAACTCGTTTTCCATCGGTGATTGTGACTGTTCCTCACCATCCTATCGCATCTCAAGGCCCCCCACTCCTTCATCACAATCCTTGTCTATGCTCGTGCCTCAAACTCATCTAAACAATAATCTACACTACACTACTCATCCACGTCGGCGATGTCCGAAGGCTGGCAATCCCCCCCTCCTTCGCAAGTCTTCTCCCCAACTCGTCGGCACAAATACTTCCAACATTAAGCGGCTATCACCAAGTGTAAGCGATAGGGTAGGGTAAGGTAGGGTGCGTGAGCCACAAGCCGAACAGCATCCGATCAGCCCCGAGACCCCGTCGGACCGCTCAAGATCCTGTCTACGTTTTTTTGCGTTCGCGTGGGCTTACAGCCCAGCGGCGTGTGTGTGTTTTTTTTTTCTTTCTCGTCTTACGCAAGCCCACACCAACTCCGCTCCATTATCAGCGCCGCGCCAGCCACGGGCGCATGTGCCCCAACTACTCCAAGATAGGCAATCAATATAGAGTAATGTACTTGTGCACAGGTCTTTGTTTGTTTTTTTCCGGCTCGGTATTCGTGTGAGTGGGAATCCATGTACGTGGGCGTGTGGCTGAGCCTGCGCATACAAATATTGACTGACTAGATATGATGTGCGGTTTGGGGTTTTCGCCCATGTGAAGACACTGGTGATTCATGTACTTCTCATTCGTCAGCCCTATGCCGTACATCAATCATACCTAACTCTCGCATATGCAGTGCAGGGTAGGTCGAACGGAACCGGGATTACTTGCCTTGCATTTTACATGCTTTATGTCATCGCCATCTCGAAACATCGCATAACTTTGCGAACTGGATACCGCTTTTTTTTTTAAAAAAAAAAAAAAAAAACCATTATCTTTCATACGAAATTTCCGCTTTGGTAAGCTCATCAGATACCCATACTAGTGGTTAACTCACTAATTTTAGGAAGATACGATAGTCATCTCACTACTGTACTGGACATTACCCACGGCATTTCCCGGGACCGATTATTCTCTTCTTTATCTCCTTGTTCTCGGCGGTGTGGCTTATGTTTATCTAGGTTCTTCTACTACTGTAGTTAGTAATGATATACGGGAAATGTCAGACTATTAGCAAGCAAACTCTAGTTTGATAAACTATATCCTCTTTAATTCACTTCACCAGCCACGTGTCGCTAACTTGAGCCACTTCAAGTTAGGATAGAGAGAAGAGAGCTAAGGCTAGTGTGGTCATGGGTTGAAGAGAATGGCATTTGTATCGGGAAACCCGGCTGGTTTCTGCTCCGAAACCAACAGAAGCCGGTACCGAGATCATCGACAGTAGTGACCTAGCCTACTTAACTATATGTAGATCTATGTAAACGGATAGATTAACAGCCGGCTGATGATCCAGGCGCTGCGGTGGCACAGCAAAGTGCACAGTAGTTGGGGCGAGATAAAATTCCCAAAGTATTTAGCTGTGTATAGTAGGCACGTAGCTCCAGAGACTAACATGAGACATCGGAACGGGATTTTCCCATTTTCGAACATGTGACCTCAAATTTAGTCTGGGTTGACTATGGGAAAGGAAGACGAAAGAATCGGGTTTACAACGCTATCACTGGCTATTTCCAATCCCTTACTTCCGCTCCGCACCAAGTTAGTAGCTAAGATTACCTTGGGCATCTTACACTGTAACATAACAGACTAAGTAGGAACTGAACAACGCGTGCGCAAGCTTTGTGATTTACCCAGACCGGTATTTCATTCGCCCTTGGTATGGCACACGCGCCGCTGAGGGATCAATGGTCAGCCCTACGAGATGTAT